CAAATGTGTGACGACTGACAGAAGGCTACTGCAAGTCGGTCTCCATCTCTTAGCCCCACACTGCACGGTTTTCAGCCACACAACATCGTTCTCAGCTTTCAGTAGGAGCGCCCTAGAGGGATCGAGTTCCTGTCAATTCTTTGAAAATACCAAAACTAATCCCTTTTCAAAGCAGGTTCGACGGTCTTATAGCTAACCTTACTTTAATGGTCAACTCCTTCCTAAAGATCCTCCGAAAGATCGAGGTACGTCTTAACCAACCCCATCTCAGACAATTTCAAACTCATAGAAGGAAGTTCCCGTTTCATTCAATCGAAAACAAATTTGCCAATCCCACTCAATGAGTATAACTCGTGGCGTGACCGCCCAACCGTTCCCAGCTTATTCAGGGAACGACTGTCCTGGGTCATATGGGGAAGAAGTGAATGTAGGAGCACATTCGCATAAGTCTGACCGAACTAAGTAATAGAACCCGTTCACAACAAAGAAGAAAGCCGATATCATTATACCAACGTCACTCTCTTGAGGTTCTTGAAAACCACAATCCCAACTTTTCGACACTTTTGAGAGATCTCTCCTTCGGGCCCATTTGCTCGCTGGCAAAGATTGTAGCATTATACCATATTGGAATATAACATTACTGATCAAGGATTCCCCGACACACGATAGCTTCTTCTATGTAAAGGGAATATCAGCTGGTCAGTTCGCTGGATGCACAATCATTACAATACTAAGGTTCATTCAGTAAGATAATTGTCAAGGGAAGAGCACTGCTGTACTCATGCTTTTTCTTCGTTCACAGACGTTCCTGGAAGCCTCGGAAGCCCTTCCATTGGAATGCTCAATCAGAGAGTTGCAAATCTCTAACGTACACTAATTGCTCCAGACGACCTCAAAAGTTCAGGCATCAGGAACTTCAAGTAAGTCTCCAATCCCGGAAAGTACTGCTCCAAAGTTTACCCAAGTGGCCGAGCGTGAAAGTGTGCACAGTTACTCGGACCTATCAAATCTGAACTTCGAAAAAGCACCAAAATAAAACGAGAAAAAGCAAAATATGTTCGAAATTCATTGTTAAAAGCAATTTCTGATGAAAAGCTATACAATATTACAACTTCAAACTAAAGCTACAAAATAAAGTCGCATTCAACAAATAAGCACGTCAAGTAACCGGGTAAAAGGACACGCCATCTAGAAAGATGTTAAAACGGAACAGGTGCTAGTTCAAGGGTAAAAATCCCAGTATGACAATAGGTTCAAGTACATATTTTATCTGTTTAGAATAAGTAAATAAGAGCTGCACCACTGGTACGATGCTGGACGATTCCTGACATCCTCAGACTCGTTCTCTCAGTTCAACTTTTCCATGCTCCAAATTTCCCAAGTGGGAACGAGACTGGGGAAATAAAAATGTGCAACAGCATCGATTTTCTCAGGCAAAGAAAGAGTAGAACTTCTAAGGTCAAAAAACATACGTCAACCTCGTTAAATGTTTTCTTGGGAAATATACGGTATGTAATCCTATGAAGTTGGCATATTATAAAGCACTTTGAAAAGCTAATCAGTAGAGATCTACCAATGAATACAATCGCAATTCAACATAAGCAAGAGGACAAAAATCTCTTTTCAACTAGCATTCCTTATTTCATTCTTAGTACAGGAGCAAAAAGAAAATTAAAACCGAATTGGAATGCTCCGAAGACTTGANCAGCATCGATTTTCTCAGGCAAAGAAAGAGTAAAAACTCTAGTGGTCTAAAAAACATATGTCAACCTGGTTAAACGTTTTCTTGGGAAATATACGGTATGTAATCCTAGGAAGTTGGCATATTATAAAGCACTTTGAAAAGCTAATCAGTAGAGATCTACCAATGAATACAATAGCAATTCAACATAAGCAAGAGGGATAAAAATCTATTTTCAACTAGCATTCCTTATTTCATTCTTAGTACAGGAGCAAAAAGAAAATTAAAACCGAATTGGAATGCTCCGAAGACTTGATGCCATAGTCCCGTTTTTCTCAATTTCGAGTTTTTCAAACGGAGATGCGCATTCCGTCCTTTTTGGAACTGAAACATAAACACTTGTAATGGAGGAGCTACTAAAGCTTATCTGCTCCCAAACATCGACTACTACAAGCAAAACTGTTTGGATTAACAGCAAAATGATCTCTTCGAGTTCTTCCAGGAAACCCTGATGCAGTAAGTGAACTGTTTGACCAAGGAGTGGAAAATCCTCTTTTAGAAGATGAAATAAAATCATGAAACTTCATGCATCACGAGGCCTACAAATTGGATGATACGCTTGATCATCAAATTATTGGAACTGGTATTGCTTTTTCTGCACTTAACTCTCTCTCTTTGTATAAGTGACAAGGTATACAGCGGCTTCTGACAATGTCGTTTTTGGATGTGTCCTGCATTCGACTACCATTCAGAATTGTAAAGGCCTTTTGAATGCGTAGGTGCCCTAATCTTCTCCCAACTATTTTCTATGTCTCTGAGGTAAATGTCAGCTCTATAGAAACAGGCAAAACTGAATAGAAGCGCCTCTACCTGTTTGCAATTCGCGCATTCCAACTGCAGTAGCTTAAGTCGTGGAGGATATCGAAATACTGGATACTGGTCGAAGAATGCGACAAATCGTACAACGTCTCCTGAAAGTACACTTTCTTCCTATATCTTAAACTCGGTAGTACAATCGAGGACAAAAGCGACAGAAGAAAGGAGAGTGTTTTGGTGCTGATGCTTTTTGGTACGCGCCCACGCATTCAACTTCCAGTCGGTCCAGTCTGACAAATGCATATATGCACATCTGCTCGTACAATGACTTGCTAGGGTTGGGTTGGTCTACAAATAAGCGCATCCTGTCTCACAAGAGGTTCTACAGAGCCAACCCTGTTGAAAATGAAATCTTGATAGCCTCAGTGAATTTCGACCTGAATTCAATCCGGACCATATGCGTGTATTGCAGCACTTGGTTCTATCCGAAATCCGCTCCATAACGGGGGCCAAAAAAGGTAGAAATAGAGAGAATAATTGGCTGAGCTGGTCTAAGCAATCCTCAACAAGGAGACAACATGTCGCCTCTCTCAAAGGCACAGTTCACAATTAAAATGGTTTCTGAGTTCTCCCCCCACGAGTACCGAATGGCTCCCAAGCGCAAAAGGAAGGGCGCTGTCGGGTCCAAAAACTCAACAGCTGAGCCCTGTTAGCGGATCGCCCGGATGCCCAGCCACTCGACCGGTGTCACGTCAGACGAGTGTCGAGGCGATATAGATTGCAATATTCGCTCTACACAATAAGCTGATCGCAGAGCAATAAGAGGATGTTCTTCTCCGATTCATTTATTCTCTGTTATTCCTTTTATTGCTGCGATCCCTCAGTTAATTTTCTACCCCAAGGGGCTGAAAGAGGTGGGCTACTTTTGCTGCTACTAGCGTTTTGAGCGACTGAATTTTAATGAACATTTTTGCTTACTGTAGTCAGCTATCCGCACCAAGACCCACACGTACGCAATGATACACATTATATAGCTCGTCCAAGCTTCCCTTCTTCATTTTTCTGGTCTTTTTCTCGTCAAACCCCCTTCTCAACGACTTTTTCGATGCCTTTTATCACTTTGGAAACGCCCGAATCACGCATTTTCTTCGCCTTAATCGCACTATTTCTCACCTTATCCTCCATTTTTCGTCATAATATGGATTACCCAAAATTATCGTGAACTGTGCCCTCAATCGCTAAGGCTTGAAGACTTTCAAAACAAATGAGGAAATAAAATGGTCAATTAATTCAAAGGGCCAAATCAAGAAGTTGATAAGGCTATTGCTTTTTTTCACCAGAGGATTGTAATCCTGGTATGATAATAACAATCAAGGCTTCAAGATTGTAATCTGTTGTCTCTCAGCTTCAAGTTTTGATACAACAACTAAAAAACTTAAGCATTATTCATTACAAAACACAATTTCTGGAAGAAAATGACTCACCTTCATCTACCAATTGCAGCATCTCATAGAATACATGACTGGCGCTCAACACCAACTGCCCCTTAGCGCTGCTGACCATACGTTCTCCATAAGGACCAGATACGTCAATCTCAAACGTGTACACATTGTGTTCCGTAAGCGAACACTCGTTAGGGCTAAAAATGAATACTATATATTTTAGGATAGAAATTTTTTGGCATAAATGGTTGCTAGACGCCTCTCTCCTGGAAAGATATCTGAATCGGTTAATTTATTAGTATTTTTTGACAGCTGCCTCATTCATTTTCCTTATGTATACTTGAGTCAGACTGTTTTTTTGCCGTAATTTCCCTTCCTAATTCGGAATTAGTTTCCATTCAGTCTCCACTAGAAAATAAACAATTTAGCTAACCTACCGCATGCCTTCAGCATCAGCCGTAGTTCGATTGCTATCATAGAAACATCTAAGTGTCTGGCCGATTGATTCTGGCAAATAACCCAGAAGCGTTTCGAACGAATTGTCTATATTCACCACACGAACAGACTGGACGGTTCCTTTCCAATTTATAGCCGTTCCTAGAAAAGACTCGATAAGGTTCACGGGCTGGATGAAATCGCTGAAAGGAAAACATGCCTTTCAATTGACTGCAGCGAATCTGATTTTCAATCGTATTTGCAGAGGTCAGCGAGCAGTGACGATCGTATTGCGTCCTGAAACATTGGCAAATTTGAACAGAATTTTGCAGCCTCTGATTCACAACAGATTCTTTTCAATAAATGGAAGAGGATAACGACTTTGCCGGTAATTAATCCCAATTTGGGATGCCCCGCACACTCGACTGCTATATACTGTCGTAGCGACCTATTGAATGCGTGTTATGGCTTATACAACGACTAACCGATGTGAAAGCCAAAGTTTTAGTCTACCAAGCGAGCTTGGCATCAATCAGCCAACCCTGGGATAGCGGGATGCTTGGGTGGCCTGGGTGGACAAGCCTGGATCGTGGATTCGATCCCCGGACCACACGTGTGTGAAAGTGTGCCACCCACTGCAACAACACTTCAGCCGAGAATTTAGATTTTTTAAATAGTGCGAATGACAAATTTTGACTCCAGCCTCTACTCAATCAATGGTACGATTACAGTGACAACAGATAGATCTCTCGCACCGTCTCCTCTTGCGCCCATGTAAGATGTCATGTAAATCGCAATACGGCCCTTAGTAGACACTTGTACTTAGTATAATTCAAAGGAACTCGAAGAGGGTCAGAAGTGTGAATCGAACACGTCATGCCAAAACAGGATTACCGTAGGCAGCAGCCTCAAAGAAACTGCTGATAGTCTTCTCTAATTGAGTATCCACATAGACTAGAGCAGATTTCAATAAAAAAAAAAGTCGGGAGACTGCAGAATTTAAAAGGGATCTGAAGAAAGAACGAGTTCTTGAAAAGCTACATAAACAAACCATGTCATATTGGTGTAGTCCGCAGCCGGGTCGAAAGACATCTGCCCTTCGTAAAGGAATGATATGGCCATTAACAAAGACGTAAAGTAGATGCCCAACATTATCCACTTCCTTTGCTCAGGACTTGACGGCGCAACTTAATGTCAAGCATTTTTACGGTTATGAGAGATTCGCGGCATATCAATAATGTTCACAGCTATGCCTATAAATACATATTGTGACAAACATACTAGAAAACTTGTATCGATTCGAGAGGAAATTGTAGAGCTTCGAGACAATAAATGGCGACACCAAAACGATCAACGTAATCGCGACTTTGGCCCAACTGACCTGAAATAGTGCCCTTATCGAAAGGCTATTGACGAGTAGTTGAAACATTCGGTGATGGTAACACAAGAGAAAGGTGGAGGGAGAGAAGGAAGAGAAGGAAGTTTGTTACTTAATTTTCGAGAAGAGTAGAACGTTTGATTGAAACTTCTAAGAAATAGCCAAGAGGCTCCCTGGGATTAGGGTGAAAACCGCACTCTTCCAGCTCTTCTCACCTTAAGAAATTCACTTTTACAGTGGTTTCAAGATACGTAAAAATACGATTTGATCAATAAATAAAACGAAATGCAAAACAAACGAACTCACAATATCTATAGCACTTTTTATCTGCATAGCTACAACTGAGAGCACGACAACGGCCGCAGCTAACGTTGGGAAGAACAGTAGCGATACAACACAAGAAGTCAAGATCAAATCAAGGAACTAAAAGAATATCGTTTTGTCAAGTGTTCAAGGGTTCATAAAAAGAAATAACTATGATGAATCTACTCTCACCCAATACCAGGTATGGATAGATAACTAAGGAGCTTTGAAACCACACTTTTAGCGATTTTTTGGGCTCTATTGGAAACTTGACATGATTCTACTAAGCGCCGGTAGAACTGTAAACTGATAAGAAACGTGTTGATGAACTGGGCTGGGAGTACTCGACATGAAATGCGACTTATACTTTAAAGTACTCACACCGAATGATTTCCATCCTATCATAAGCAATGTCATCGCTACATCAGACCAGGCAATGCAAACCTACAAAAGGAATTCGATAAATGGAAACTAACAGCAACATCATAAAAACATACCCATATTGCTCATGCTTTGTGGGTTCGCGCCCACAGAGAAAGGTTTTATTGTGGGTTCATGGGAATAATAAGGAATGAGAAAGTGCTAAATGTACTCACTATATGAGGAGCTACAACATGAAGCGCTTCAGACCATGTCTTCCTTTTCGATGCCATTAGGAAGTACACGACGGGAATGGACATTAGACATAATGAAGGAATTCCCAAACTGGCCACCAAGTAGCCTGGGAAAATATAAGTAAACATCTGCAAAAGCTTTGTAAAAACTGCACATACCTATCTTGAACTGGAATAACGGTCGCCAAATTCGCCAGTTTCCTGCGAAGGAATGAGAAAGTGCTAAATATACTCACTATATGAGGAGCTACAACATGAAGCGCTTCAGACCATGTCTTCCTTTTCGATGCCATTAGGAAGTACACGACGGGAATGGACATTAGACATAATGAAGGAATTCCCAAACTGGCCACCAAGTAGCCTGGGAAAATATAAGTAAACATCTGCAAAAGCTTTGTAAAAACTGCACATACCTATCTTGAACTGGAATAACGGTCGCCAAATTCGCCAGTTTCCTGCGGCAAAGTGCATTCGTGACAGTATAACAGGAAGGCTGAAAGTGGATTAGTAAAATGGAAGCGACTATAATAACAAGTCAAGAATTACCAAGACATCAAGTTTGCAAGCATCCCAAATAGAGCATATCTATCGTAAGCATCCGCTAGGCTGACAAACGTCACCAAAGCGAAAAACGAAGAAATCCCGCACGCCAGACTGCAGTAAGGCAACCGTCTGTTCGCTGCACCAACTAAATGGGTGTTATTAAAAGACATGATAATGACTGTCGTTCAAGGACATAAAAATGTATGATTACGACTGATCGAGTGAAGTTTTTGAAATTCGAAAAGTTAAAATTGTAGGGTACAGCAGCTTTTGATGCGAGTGAGATTGATGGGGGTGAAGTTACGCCTCCTGGGCGCAAGTGGTATTAAGAAACGGAATTTCGGGGGTATGTAAGGAAACATATCTGATCCCGATCTACCAGCGTGTTGGCCTGTTCACCCGAATATGATGAACAGAAGAGGAAAGGACCAGTTGAAGCGATTTGAGGTAGCGGCAACTTGACTGAGTAGAAAAAGAAAATGGACTACCTGACAAGATGAATAAAGATAACGAGAGTGCAAAGTTGATATAAGGCTCCCAATTGTTGTCAGTGATAAAGTATGATCCCTGAAATTGCATACAGTAAACGAACAGTAATCCTGAAGGCGCAATTGAAGCATCTCAGAATTTTTCGGAAGTCTTTAATGAAAGTGAATTTAGAACACAAGGGAAAACAAAGCATGGCGTGATAGAAAAACAC